TGAGGCAAAAGTTACCTCTTACATTTCTCTTGGGTTCTTACCTAGGAGGATTATCTTCCTTTAGAAAAAAGTAAAACCAAACTAATACACTGGATTTAGATAAGCATCGATCTATTATTACAACAAAAGGGCAATTAAAGGATCACTGAAGTCAACCATAAATGTTTATTCTTAAATGTTAATGCTTTAAGTAAGGAAACAGTTGGACATAGAGACTTTGGACCTCTTAAAATTATAGGAAATAAGCCAAAGAAAGTTAAGCTCCTGCTTCTAATAAAACAGCCTTGAAGAAAATGAGCCAAAGAGGAACTGGTCCTTCCTGAAGAATAATAACAATGAGATTGGTCATGAGCCACAACCTCACTCTACTCCTCTTTGAAATACAGATGAGGTAGAGCAGAGTGGGTCCAGAAGTAACAAATACAACCTTATTTGACACCAGCCATCCTCATTCCACCCAGAAGCTGAACTTAATTCTACCATGAGGCTTGTGGTGAGGGAACCTGTGCGATAGGTCTATTAATAGCTTATGAAATAAGCTGTGAGAACCAAGGCTCACTGATAATTTTGTTCTTTGACAGTAGAGGGGCAGGGAAACTGCATTTCTTCAAGAATTTTTTAATCAAGAGCTTCCCGATGTTAGAAACAAACAATTTACAATGATCTGTGCTCCCTATAAGGACAGACCTATAGGCCTATAAAAGTATCTCATGGTAAATTAGAATGTAAACTTGAGGAATTTTCTTTTATAAATTGGCAAAATATCTGATTAATATTTAATAGAAATAAATATGTATCATGAAACTTGGCTGTGACTCAAATCCCAGAGCTGTAATTTCCTCTTCTGAGTGTTCTGGATCAACAATTTAACCTCTAAATCATCAGCTTTATCAGTAATAAAATGTATTCTGATACCACAAACCTCACTGGATTGTGGAAAATATATAGATATATAAAGAGTTTAGCATACTATATAATACTATTTCTAGAATTATCTTAAAATATTTCACCTTCTAGAATCAATAATATATTGTTTACTTAAAATCTAAAATGGGCTTTAAGAGACTCCAAGATATGAGAATTTTACTTGAGGTTATAAAAATTTTGCTTGATGTTTTACCCTTCAATTAAAAAATTATAGTTTTTCTGTCAAAATGAAATCATATGAATTATAAAAGCTAAGGATAGTGAGGATAAATGACTGAGTAATTGATAAAATCTTTGTAGAAATTGGCTATATCAAGCCTTGGAAGAGAAAGAAGGGTTGGGTAGAAAAAATAGAATAGAAGAGGAAGCTAACCTGGCTGAGGAGAGGTGGAACACACAGAAATGAATATAGTCCACTTGAAGGAGATAGGATTTAGAAGAGGGGATAGATGTGGAGTGTTGTTTGAGATAAAGGGAAAGGATGTACTTAAGATCCCATAGGAAAGTTTTGGAAGATCAGACAGATCAGACAGCAAGTAGAAAAACTTTCTCATTGTCTTGTTAGAAGTTAAGAACAAAACAAAACATAAGTTTGATTAGCAGAGAATTGATCAGCTGACGTTCAAGCCGAAAACTGAAGTAAAGAAAAAAGGAACTAGAATGGCAAACACAATAAAAAGCTTTCAGAGACAGAACTATAAAATTAGGAAGCTGTGCAGATTTCTTCTCCACTGGGGTCAACTATGAATTATCTGGGATTGTCTTCTGCTGTCTCCTGATTTCCCATCTGTGACACATTCTTTAGGCAGTTGTTTCTACTCTTGACCTTTTATCTGCAAAATATTGCAATGATTAACTTGAACCAACATTTTGGGAACTAACAATGAAATCAAACATTGCTCTCTAGTAAAACTATTTAATAGCTAAAGATAAAATAACATGGCTAAGGAGAAAACAATAAGATTTCAGAGTAATGGCTTATAAAAGGATTTCCTCCTGTGAAATTGTTAATATATAAGAGATCCATTAGGAAAAAAAAAAAAAAAGACATTATTATAAGAGCTTCTATGTGGTAGGCAATATGTAAGACTTTGGAGATAAAACAACAAAATATTTGCCCATCCTAAGAGATTGACTGATCAGGGTCACTGCCATTCAGCATTTTCTAGGAGCTCATTAAAATGTAAATTAAGACTCCACCCTAGATCTGGGGGTGGGACCCAGAAATCTGTTTAATAAACTCAAAAGATTCTAATGCTCACTTTGATAACTACTGTGCTACATTTCTTACATGGATATGATTTGAAACTTTATAGCTCTCCTACCTGATGATGAGAGGAGCAGCAGAGGGAGAAGCTGAACTGATAAAAGACCTTCTGTTTCCATTGTTCCTACTGTTTCCTCTAAAGGAAATACTCAAGATTACAAAGAAAGGTGAGTTTTTTTTCTGGAGATCATTTTCCTAATCATGGTTTTCTTTAAATATCTAAACTTGAGCTTAGTATTTATGGTAGCTTTAAAATATGTACACATGGAACACAACAGTATTAAAGAATAAGTGAGAAAACAAGGATAAAGGAAAAATAGGAAAAATAAGATAAGGGTTGATATGAACTTACCACATAAACAACCTATGAGGGAGAGAAACTATCCTCCAACTTAACTTTCTCTTGCTTTCTATAAAAATAAGTAATCTCTATCCCTGTTCTCTTATTTCTCCTTTGTACTCGTCTTATTTAAAATGTATTTTTAAAAATATTTACCGAGCATCCAGTATGTCAGGTATAAACAGGATACTAAGAAACTTAGTTTCTTGCAGATGGAGAGTGACCAACAAGTAAATTTGTTCATAGATAAATACAGCTAGATATAAAGAAAAGAAGATGATGTAAATGGCAGGAAGGTATTTTCGAATTGGGTATAGAAAGGCCTCTTCTGAGGAGTGACGTTCAAGCCGAAAACTGAAGTAAAGAAAAAAGGCACTAGAATGGCAAACACTTTGAGAGAAAAGCATTGCCAGCTGAAGAAGCAGACAGGACACGGATAAATTTGTTATAATTGGAATCAACAATGGTTGGGGAAAACTATGGGGTGAGATTAGATGTAGAGCGAGGCCGTACCATCTAGAACTCCATTAGCCATTTGGATTTTATCCTAAAGGGTAATACAAAGTTATTAGAAACCTGACTTAGGTTTTTAAATCACATTCTGGTTGTTGAGCTGAGAGGAGCTGGAGATGGGAATTGGGAAGGGCTGAATACAAACTAATGGAAATGATGAAAGAGTGGCAGTTTAAACTATGCTTCTTAAGGATTTTTAAAGTGAATTGGGGGTAAGAAATGTATTTTTTGAAATTCAGAACAGTGTTTTAGATATGTTAATTTGTGGTGCTTATCAGCATTTAATTGCAAATGAGTTGGAAGTTCTGTGTCTAGGTAGATTATTAAATTGGAGAGTGGTATTTAAGTTTTTGAAAATGATTACCTAGGAAGACACAGCAGTACTTGAATAAAAGACTAGAACTGACCCTTGAAGTACCCCAAAATTTAGATGTTCGAGAGGATGTGAAGCCATAAAACAATGCTGAGAAACAGACCAGTAAAGTATAGAGGATGTCAGCTATGTGATCTTGAAACCAAAAAGAAGCAAACATTCCAAAAGCAGGATCTTTAGTCAAATTATGTTAACTACTAAGAGCTCAAGTAAAATAAAGCCAGCAGTGATGACTTAATTTGCAAACTTGTTCATTTTGTGACCGATTAGTTTTTTGTTTTTGTTTTTTTCAATTGAGTAGTCTAGGACATATTCAGGGAAGCAAGATAGGAAAGCTACAAGAGAGTCAGAGGACCCAGGCAGCAAAAAAATTGAAGCAAATTCAGAGCCAGATTATAAGTAGCGAGAAAATATTTTCAATTTGTTTAATAACAAGAGGATAATCTTGTCAACGTATAAGTATCTCTTAAAATTAAGAAAAAAGACCAAAACTCGTAGAAAAAAACAGGTAAAAGGCTTAAACATGGTTCACAAAAATAAAAATAGCTCTGAAACATTTGAAAATAATCTTTATTCATAATGAAATAAATGCAAATTGGAAATATATAAAGATTCCATTTTTTACCAGCCAAATGAACAAAAAGTTTGACACTTTTCTGAAGAATTATTGAGAAGAATGGCATAATTTTACAGTTCTGCAATTCCCTTTAATTTCTGGTTTTTCAGAAGATGGTTGTTTTCTTGTATCTGTTATAGCATTTCATCTATGGAAATGTTATTTTAGATACTGTATGAAGGAAATCTATCCTCACACAAATACACAGTTGGAAAAGTAGAGAGCCTTCGAATAGCTTTTTTAGATAATTGTTTTTTCATTCTGAAATCATAGCAATGAACATTTTGTCCTTCATTACATTAAAATTCATTGGTCTGTCTTATATTTAAAATCTACTTTACCCTTGTGTAATTTTATAACATTTTACCTTGGTATGCTGAGCAGTAAATCCTTAAATTTGAACCCAAGTGCCGCTCTCATTTAAGGAGGCACTCAAAGAGGCCCTCTCATTCTGGTTCCTGCAAGCACTGGGAGAGTGAGTGGTTCCTTAAATTTGAATGCTGAATACCTAACACCAGACTTTGCCTCACCCTAGTGCCGGAAGTTCCTCCAATGCTTATTATACAGCACTGTGCCCTCGATTGAGTACCTTTTCTTTTCTCCCCCCTTTGCTTTTTTTTTTAAAATGACTTACTGGGAAATGGTGTGTTATGTTCTCACTTGTAACTAATTTTTAGCCAATTGCTTAAAATTTTCAGAAACTTAAGAAAGCCCTTCTAATTCTAGAACGCTGATATAATTCCTTATGTCTCCTTCCCCAAGCACGGGACTACCAAAGAGAAGACGTGCGGGATTTGAGGAGTCCAGAATGCGATGACCTGCTCTGATGCTTGACTGTGTGTGGATGCTACGATTGGCAAGTGTGTCTGCCCCAGAACACCTTTACTCTTTTCCTGTTCGGAGTGCAGGAAAAAATATTGCCCATCAGAAACTGCCTAATCTTCAACTACGAATATCTTCCGGGATGTCCAGAAGGCTCAGCCTCAAGTTACAGCAAAAAATCCTAGAAGATGCCTACTGTGAGAAACACCTGGAACCACACCTGCTGTTCTGTGATGACGACCAAATCACACTTTGTGACAAGTGCCTCCAGTCCCCGGAGCATAGGAATCACATGATATATGGAGTACAAGAGGCCGCTGAGAATTACAGGGTAAGCTTCATCCAGATTCCAGAGCACTCTAGCATTCTGGCCTCCTCCTCTTATTTATTAACTTATTTATTTAGGGGACAGATACTCTGATCTTCTAAGACCGCTCCCCTAGTTGATGTTTATCGAAGAATACTAGACCGTATTTAGTTGACTATATTTAGAACTCCAACTTCAAGGCTAAGAAAACATAGACTGGGCTTTGGCCTTTCAGTTGTCTAAGTTTGTGAATTTAACTGTTCTAAAGCAATTACTTTACCTGGAAATCTGTGACTTATTTCTCTGCAGAAGTTATTTCAGGAGCTATTGAACACATTGATGGAGAAACTTGAAGTAGCTAAAAACCTATTAGCTGATGAGAAAGAAAGAATGGTGATGGTTCAGGTCAGTGCTTATCTTGCTTCTTGGGGGAAATTACCTGTAATATTGGATACCAAATAATATAAGCAAATCAAAATACAAATGACAACACCGAAAAATAGATTTGCAATCTGTAGATAAGAAAAGTATTAATTTTTTGACATATAAAAAGTGCTTGGAATTCAATAAGCAAAAGACTAAAAACTTAACAGAAAAATGATCAAAGAAATAAGAGTTTACAGAAAATGCAGATATCTTTTGAACATATAGGAAGATCTTGAACTTTGCTCATGGTAAAAGAAATACAAATTAACTATATTAAATTTGTTAGTGAGGTGGCATTCACAACTCTTAATGGCAGAGATAAAAAAAGATTAATAGCACAGTTTATAACATTGTACCTATGCTATAGAAGAATGAACGCCTCATGTATTTTTTGGTGGCCATTTTAAAGGGAAGTTTATGCACGTTTCACTTCTGATTTCATGCTCTCTCCATATTTAACTTTATTTTGTGCCCTGGACAACAGATTTGGCATTTCCCCCTCTTTCAATTTTTAAAGAAAATAAACGTCCAGTTGAAAATGGTAAGGGAGGAGAATTACCTGGCTATATAAGAATATTTCAGCTGATCCCCATTTTTTTCAGCCCCAAGTACCATATATTCAAATATTGGGGTCCCACTGTTTGCCAGGAATTATGCTATGTCGGGGGTTTTTTTGGGGGGGTGGGGAATTCAACCATTACACAATTAACATTTTACTAGATGTAAACAAAACAAGCAAATATATGTTACATGTTAAATGCTATACTTTTTTTGTTTTTTGTTTTGTTGTTGTTTGGAAAAGCAAGAGCTATGGGGTTCACTTTTAAACAAAGTGATCAGAGCCTTGTCATTCAGAAGTGGCATTTGAGGAAACTCTAGGAAGTGTGGAACTGAGCCATGTAGTCTTGAGAAGAAGGTACTAGGCAGAGTGGAGGGCAAGTACAAAGGTCTCAAGATGGGTGTTTACTTGGTTGTGGTTGTGTGAAAGAAATGGAGATTAGAAGATGATGAGATTAGAAGATAAAGGAGCCAAATCTTGCAGGGTAGTTGTCTTTAAATGAAATAAGAAATCCAGTGAAAAGTTTTGAACAGAAGAATAACATGACCTCACTTCCATTTTCATAGAAACGCTCACTGATGAAGTGAAAATAGACCATAGGAGGGTGAGAGCAGAGGTGGAGACCTGAAAAGGGCTGTTGCAATAATCAGGGACAGGTAATGGTAAACTGGTGGGGTAGAGGTAGAGGAGATAAGTGGTCAGGTTCTTGATGATTCTTGATTCCACTGAGTCTCATGAGATTAAATATTACACTAAGCTGACTACTCCCAATGTATATCTCCAGCCCAGCCTTCCAGATAATAGGCTTTAATGTCCACCTTCCTACGAGGCATCTCTCCTAGGATGGTTAATTGATTAATCAAAATCATCATATCCAAAACTCAGCTTCACATTCCCACCTCTGGAATCTCTCTCTTTCGTAGTTTCCGTTTCTGTGTTTTGTCAGCTCCATTCTTCTAGCTGCTTAAGTCTTAAGAACCTTGGAATAAATAGCCCATTGATCCCTCTTTTCTCATACCCCCTATTGAGAGCATCAGCAAACAGCTGACTTCGATTTTCAGTTTTTCTGGTTTCCTTCTCTTCAGTTACTGAGATTACAGATTCCTCAGTTCTCTAAGTCAATTAACATTCCTTCATCTGTGTTTTATGTTCAAGGTTTGTGTTAATGTCCTGGTGGATATTGACTATGAAATTTCCTTTGTCCTCATACTTTATATTTCCTTGCCCTTATATTGAAGTTGGAGATGGAAAGAGACATTTCTGGTCAATCTGTGGTGTTCTACCTGAAGTCCATTATATCTATATGTATTATAAAGGGAGAAGAGCAGAATTTTAAAGAGATGATTGAGTCTGAATATAAAATGATGTTCCGGTTGATGACTGAAGAGAAAGAGATGAACTTCCAGAGCCTACAACCAGAACTTTTCAACCAGGACTTGAGAAAAGCCAGTCGGAGGCAAATGATGGAATTTTCTGCAGAACTAGAGGAGAAATCCAAGGAAATGATACAGGTGACTTGTTGAAAATGGCATCCTTACAATATTTGGGAAATAAAAGAAAGAAGAGATGAATGTGTCAGTTCCAGAATAAAACATCCAGTGACAGTCACATATGTATTAAAAGGATTTGTATATTCTTCCAGCAATTCTACTTCTGAGAATTTGTTCCAAATATATTTACATGCATATTAAAAACATGTGGATAAGAGAATGCTGTCAAATTATTTTAGTTTGAAGCCTGGCTTAGAGGTAGTCTTTGAAGTTGGATTGATGATGTTTCTATCTTGGGTCTGCTTTTTATTAGCTTGTATGTGGCCCTCAATTTGTTACTTAACCTATGGCTTGGTTTCTTTAGCTGTGAAGTGGGGATAATAGTGGTCCCTGGTTCATAATAGTGTTGTGAGGCTTGAATGCGATAGTCTACATAAAGCACTTTAGTGTTTGGACATATTGTGTCCTGGATAAGTATTAGGTATTATTATTACTATAAGATTTATTAATAGCAAGAGATTAGATACAACCTATATCCATTAATATAGGATTTATGAAATAAATCATTATGTACATAAAATGAAATCTTCATTTAGAAAAGATCACATGGCTCTATGTGTATGGATAAGGAACACTCCAAGAGCATATTTATTAAGGAAAAAGCAAGATATCAGATCAGCAATACACATAATAAGCCATTATTTGTGTTCTTTAAGAAAAAATAACATGAACACATGCTCATGTGCCTAGGTGGAACATCTTTGCAAGGATAAAAAAGAAACTGGTAGCACTGGCTTGATTATTTAATTTTAATTGATATTTAATTTCTAATTCAAATCTATAACAAAGGACATAAACTTTCTGAACAAAACTGCACAGTATAAAATGATCTGTTTTAGGTCCAAGTTGTTATCTGAATAAGTGGACTGCACGCATATCACCAACGTCGACGTAAATATGTTGTGCCAAAGAATAAAGTTTCTACGAGGTGTCCTGCTTGACACAGAGGGATATCCTGGCCTTATCTAATTATGTCTATTTTCAGGATGGCAAAGCAAGTTTTTAAAAAGGTGGTCAAATAGCAAATAAGAGAAAGTATTGGTTGTTAAATAGTAATAAGGAGTTGCTTCTGCAGAGACTGAACAATCTGGGGAGAGAGAACATGAATAAACTGAAGGAGAGTGAAGTCAGGCTCTCTGAACAGATCTGCAGCCTCCAAAAGATCATCGCAGAACTACAGAAGAAGTGTGGGGAATCTACTTTAGCGTTGCTCCAGGTAAGGTTCTAGAAAGAATCTTCTTTGTAGTGTTTGAGATGTGAGAAGCAGACCATACTCATTGGCGGTCAGTTCCAGGACACAATATCCAATGATACTCAATCATTAGTGAAGGCGGCGATATAGCTATTTTCTAATCACCAAAAGTATTATGAGTCATCATGAAATCATAGTACAGAGCTACTTCATGATATGAATTCTTACCTTAAAATTATTAATAGTAAGTTCAAGATGAGATGTCCTTTAATACATAAATAATTGGTTAGTCAAATCATGATACGGCTATATAACAGAATATTCTGCGACCATACAAAAAGGATGAAGAAGCTCTGGGCATTAAAAGACTATCTTTAAGATATTTTGTTAAGTAAAAAAAAAAGATGCAAAACTGCTTTTTGTTTGGTTTTAGAGAATATAGACATATGCTCATTGACAATCAGACTGCCTCTGGAAATATAAACACACATTTTAATCGGCAGTAACATTGGGAAATAAAGGTGATATTTATTTATATAGTATTGTATATTTTTAATTTTGTATGGTAACATGCAAATATCTTTTTAAGACTCTCCATTTCCCTCTGCCAGGAACATATTAGCAATTTGAGTGCTCTTATTTGAGAAGCCCCTACACATAAACCCTTAGATTGTTCTAGAGACAAACCCAGTTCTAGATGGTGGGGATAGGGGTGACCAAATTATGCTTCATTCCTGACCTGCATGGCTCCAACCACTCTCCCCAGACTAGCAGGTCCCTTCACGTGTCTTAACTCTTGCCACTTCCAGCATAGAAAGCAAACAGATGGACTGAATTGGACTGAAGAGTGTTCTGAATAAGATGGCTGAAATGAGGTGTAGAAAATATTTCCCTTGGGAATATAACAATAACTTCAAGCATTTTATCAACTTTTCCTATTTCATGTTAAAATTTGGTATCTGAGAATTAGCATCATGAATCTGAAGAAATTAACATAGAAATCAAGTTTTATTATTTGAAGATATTTTCATGAGCACAACTCACAAAAGGCTTGTGGGTATTGGTTAATCTTGACTCTGAAATTTAATTTGTCCTCATACTCTGTATTTCTTTGATATCCATTAGTAACTGTCTTGTTTTTCTTTTTCTTTTTTTTTTTTTCCTCCCCATAGGATGCAAGATATTGTCTGGACCAGTAAGTTTTCATTTTAGAAACATTTGGGTCAGAATCAGGGTCTGATGTGTGAGCAGTAAAGTGGGTAAGATGTTGGGATAGGGATAGAGAGATTGTGTAATGAGATCATCCTCTGGGTCAAGGGGCCTGGGGTCTGCCCACATAACTGAGATTGTCTTTTCTTTAAAGGAGTGGTGGTTCACTACTGCTTCAGTGTCTAGAGCCCGCCCAAATCACAGACTTGAGTTTATGCCAAATACCAGGAATGAGCAAAATGCTTAAAGTGCTCCAGAGTAAGTTGACACACATCTGTGATTACATCCTACCATAAATAAAAGTAAATTCCAGATAGCTTAAGGATATAAAAGATTGGAGAGTTTAATATGCTTGCACACATAAGATAACAAGATAATAATTGCATGATCTCATGTTGAAAGGCTCTCCTATGCAAATTCTTTACAATGTTCTCAACCCTGAAACATAATTATTTCACTATTTAAAAATTTTAAACTTGTACGAAAAAAGTCAATATATGTAATGAAAGATTTATATCTCCTCCCCCCATGGTTTTGCCTTTTCCAGAATGCTCTGTCAATGGATTCACACAGTATGTGGCATTTTGAGTCTGGTTTCTTTCAGTTAGTATAATGCATTTGAGGCACATTGTAGTTTGTTGCGTGTATCAGTAGTTCCTTTTTGTTGTGTGGTATTCCATTGTATGAACTTACCACAATATTTAAAAATTTTTTTGTAATTCCATGGACATGAGTTGTTTTCAACTTTATGCTATAAATATTTGCTTATAGATTTTTGTGTGGCCATGACTTCATTTCTCTTGGTTGAATGTCTATACCATTTTGTATTCCCACCAGTAATACATGAAAGATTCCGTTGCTCTACATCCTTGCCAGCATTTTGTATTGCCATTTTATTTTAAACTATGTAGCAGCAAATCACTTTGATTTTTAATTTGTATTTCTGAAATGGCTAATGTGATGGAGCATATTTTTATGTGTTTACTTACACTTTACTGTTGCTCTTCTTTGAAATATATCTATGAATATTTTCCTCATTTTAAAAATTATTTTCTCATTGAATTTTGTGATTTCTTTATATATTCTAATTACCAGTTCTTTATCAGATATGTGTTTTGCAAATATTCTCTTTGTGATTTATATTTTTATATATCTAATGTTTTTTGAAAAGCAGAAATTTTAAATTTTGAAGTTCAGTTTATCAATTTTTTTCTTTTATGATTTGTGCTTTTGCATCCTAAGAAATTGTTTCCTACCCTAACAAAAAATTTCTATATTTTTCTCACCTTTCTGTACTGGCTCAGAACTGCAATACGACACTGAATAGAAGTGGTGAGAAACATTTGCCTTGTTCTTGATCTTAGCAGAAAGAAAGCATTCAGTATTTCAGTTTTAAGTTTGATATTAGCTATGTTTTTCATATTTGCTTTACCCTAAGTTGAGGAAATTACCCTCTATTTCTGACTTGATAAAACTTTTTATCATGAATCAATGTCGAGTTAATTAGATGCATTTTCTGTATCACTTAAAATATGTTTTTTCTTTATGTATTAATATGGTGAATTATATTACTTTCAGATGTTGAACCAGCCTTACATTCTCAGAATAAATTCTTGGTAGTGATATTACTTATTTTATATATTGCTGAATTCAATGTACTAATATTTTTAAAGGATTTTTGTATTTATATTATTGAGGCATATTGACCTGGAGTTTTCTTTTCTTGTAATCATCCATTAACTTAGATAATTCATTTTATTTTCATTTCTATGTAATCTTTTAGTATATGTGCTGCCGAAGCAAGCACAATTTCTACATAATCTTTTGGATTTTTTGTCAAGTCTAGTTAGCCTTACTTTTCAGTTTCCTATGTCCTGTACATATTTTTAAGCTTTTTACCTCAAACATAGACAAAAATTATTTTAGAGTCTGTGCCTGGTAATTCTAATATTTATGTCCTTCAGATTTATTTCTGCTAGTCTCACTCAATAGTGCTCTCCTACTTTGTGTGTGTTTAATGATTTTTTAATAGATAAGCTTAACTTTTTCTCTCAGATATTAATTTTAGAAATTCTTTGAGGCCAAAAATGAAGCTGTGCATTCATCTTGGAAGAACTTACATTCGTTTCTGCCAGTATTCTGTAAATACTAAGTGCCTGGGACAACTTGAAACTTAAAATTCAAGGCTTGTGGCTTTTAAGACCACCCTAATAATGACATGAATTGGGCTTCAAATCCAGAGGTTTATGTTCATTTGGCAATAAAACTTGATGCTGGATTAGATGCTGAAGAAAGTAAGAAATAAAGAACTATTCCAGGTTTATGGCTTGATCAACTCAAGCATTAAGTGTGCTATTAACTGAAAAGTAGAAAGTGGAAAGGAATACGTTTGGGGATTAAAGTTTCGATGTAGAATGTTTGAAATGCCTCAGTTATGTCCAACTAGTATTTGGTAACTTGTTTATGGCGTAAGTCTCGAACATATAGAAGATATTTAAAACTGAGGCTAAGTGAAGTTACATAGAGGGAAAGAATACAAGAAGTAAAAAGGAAGACTCTGGACCAAGCCATGAGAAATCACAGAATTTAGCAGTTAAAAAGAAAGAAAAGGAACAGTCAGAGATGTAAAGACAATTATCACTTTCATTCAGATATAAGAAATGACATTGAGCTTTCTTGTTCATAGTTGATTTTTTTGGAGGATTCTCAGATTTTCTACCCTCTGCTAATATGTTTTCTTTTGTTTTACTCTATCTAGCGTCTGAGGAAGCAATTTTTAGGCATCTATGTCATACTCTAGTAATATTTAGGATGAGAAGAGTAATTCAATCACAGGGAAGAACCATGAATGAACTACTTTATTAGGAGACTCCAATGCTTCTGGCCATTCCAGGCTTGGAGAAGATCTTTTAGAGGACTAGAGTTAGGTCACAGGTGATACTGGCTGACTGGATACTAGGCCATTTTTATAGCTTAGTAAGTTCCTTTCTGGTTTGAAAGTTACTTCTATACCTTGTTGTAGTCCATTATCATTTGTTTTCTTCTTCCTCCTCAGATACATTGCATCTCCTTCCATCATCTTATTGACTTCATTCCTCTATGATGTTCATATCTTGAAACAAAGTTTAGAGGTTGCTTTTCCAGTACTCTCCTAGATTTCTTCCCATATTTGTGCCTAAGATTTGTGCCCACTCATTGAGAAGCCCCTGCATGTTAGAAAGCATCAAACTCTGTCACTGGCTTTGATGAACCCCTTGGTTAACTAAATTTCTCTCTCCCTGCAGGACCTATAACTTTGGATCCTAAAACAGCTCATCCCTATCTTGTCTTATCTGAAGATCTGAGAAGTATAAGACTCAGAAATGTCCAGCAGGATGTACCTGGCAACCCAGGGAGATTTGACTTCAGTGCCACTGTGTTGGGTGTGGAGAGCTTCACCTCAGGAAGGCACTACTGGGAGGTGGATGTGCAAAAAGCAACAGAATGGCAATTGGGTGTATTTGAAGACTCTGCCAGCAGAAAAGGTGACACATTCAAAGCTTCCAGAGATAAAGTCTTACTCACAGGCTCCATGATGGGAACCGATTATACCTTCTGGGTCTTCCCCCCTTTAAAAAGGGTCTCTTTGGGAGACCAGATGCACAAAGTTGGAGTTTTTCTAGACTGTAAGTATCGGCAGATATCATTCTATGATGTGACAAAGAGTCTCCTCATTTATAATTTCTCTCATCTTGCCTTTCAAGGAGCTCTCAGGCCTATATTTTCTCTTTGTATCCCAAGTGGAGGCACAAATTCAAACTCTCTTAGCATCTGCCTCCCTGATGTTTTTTCTTGCAATGTTACTGTTAGCCCTCAGTCTCCCTTGGTGTGAAATCTAAAATCACAAGATGCCAGAGAATTAAAAGCATGACTTTGTAAAAGAATTTACATTAAGTAATCCAATAATAGATTTCTAGCATTTGAGTTGCAACCCAGTTCAATACCCCCAGAACCTTTGCATTTATGTGTTTTTTCATACCTATGTAGTGGAAGAAGCTACCTTTAAACTGAGTCTTAACTGAAGGATCCCATAGTAATTAGAACAACAAGTGCATATTCAGCATAAGATTGAAAAATTAGAGAAGAAATATAGTCTGGGATCCTTAGGACTAGGTTAAAGATTCTAGAGATATTTTTGAAAACAAAATTAAGCATAATTAGGACTTTAGATTTGAGATATTATCATAGTTACACATGTAATAGAGATACTCTATTACTGATCCTATTACTCGCATCGAGGCATCCTGTTAGTGACAGTGTCAAGATCTCACAACATTTAACATTTCAAATAGAGAATGACTTAATTTCTCTACATATTTTATCTAGGAATGGAGGAGGTATTGCAAAAAAAAAAAGTGAATATTTCAAAATTATTTTTTGAGTATTCTACATTTTTATAAGAATATTAGTTTTCTTAAAAGAAGCCCAATAATTCAATGCTATGAAATACTTAAGTAATATTGTCTTGTAGTTGCTCTCATCTCTCTCTTCAACAATTTACTGAAAAATATTTATTTCTACAACCTTGATCAGGGGTGGTCATACAATGCTGAGAAGATGACGACATGTTTATACAGGGAATTTTATGTGAAAGGCTTATCATACTTTACATCCCTTAATATTTTTAACAACCTGTAAGTATGTATTACTCAAATGTAGAAACTGAGGCTCAGAGGGGATTTAATTTTTCTAAAGTCACATAGCTGTTAAGTGTCCAGTAAGTAACAAGGATGAGGAATTACATCTGGATCGTCATATCAGAAAGCAAGCTCTGTCTTCAATCTTGTTACATGGAAACCTATTGTATCAGCATGACTGTGTAAGATAGTGGTCCAATTTTATTCAAATTAGCTAAAAATGCAAGCCAATTTCTACAGGAAGTAGAGGAAGCATATTATTTCTACTTTTCTAGGTATACTCTATGTGTGTTATGGAGTCTGTGTTCTTCAAGATGGGCAAAGTAAAGGGAAACAAAAGGCAAATATAAGGAAATTGCTTCTGTTGAGACCTGGAAGGATATAAAGTCTTATGTTTTTGTGTTTTGGGGACAGATTTTTAATTGACCATTTGAGATTCTCAAAATTTTTTTAAAATCATCATGTGAATAATTTGTGTATGTGCCTTCTAAGGCATAAGCTTAGAAAAAAAAGTCTTTGCACATCTTCGTACCCAATCACAAGAAGACATGGGGCGGAATAGCCCTTATCTGAGAAGTGGGGGTTATGTGAGGTGAGTTGGAAGTGAAATAGCTATTTGAAGCACTAAGATTAAAAATTCAGAGTGTTGGGTCTCAAACTCCTTCCCAATTTCCTGAGGAAAAAGATAATAATTTATTATATAGGGAAATGTGAGAATGTAATAATAATTGTCTATATGATTCTAACTCTTCAACGTCATCTTACATCAAATGTCTCCTGCCTCTGCGACTTGACTATTAAGAACTATTTTCCCCAAACTAAGAAATCAAAAGAGAATGAAGCATGTCCTTTCAATGTCACTCTGGGACATTGTCTAACACACAAAGATTATTTTAATTCTCTAAGAAATTATACTTGCATTTGACTTTGCTATTTACCATCTAATGATAACCCACACACACTGTGCAGTTACATGTTAACATGAAAAATTATCTGGTAGAAAAAAAAAAAATCCCCAGAAGCTTTGGTTTTAGTCCCCTGTAAGGTATTAACCACTTTTGTATCTAATCTAAGCAATCTTAACATTCTTTTATATTCCTTATGATCTGTATAAATGGTTTTTCATTCCTCTTGGAACCAACTTTACTCTCTCACTGATTCCTTCACTAATTACTGAGTTGAACAAAACCTTTGATACATGTCTAACTATATTTGTATGAGAATCATGTTAAGCCTTTGAAAATAATACTTTGACACAGCCTGAATAATGACTTTCTGAATAAAGATGTCTAATGCATCCTTCTAGCCACACACACTTTGCACATGTAGTTCCCTGTACTTCAGGCAACATTCGCCCCTCTCATTTTTTTTATTTGTTTGCTAATTCTGGTTCATTCTTTAGATCTCAGCTTAACTGTTCCTTGGCCTTAACAGTGAATCCTGGGACAACATGGTACCAGCTATAGCTTCTTGTTATGCAAAGCACAGTTACAGTTTTATACTTGGCTGATTATTTAATTGCTTTTCCCACTAGACTATAAGTTTTATTAGTAAGGACTGTACCTATTTTTATTCTTTTATCTTCTGTTAAGTGTTAAATAGTCTCAAGCACATGGTTTCTGTCAATATGTGTTCATTAAGAATTTGAGGAAAAAGGTCATGTGGTAAATTATAGGACTGAGTGGGTGATGGTAGAGTGTCCAAGTCATGGGGGATATACTTGTGTCAAAACTAAAAAGTGAGTAAAGAATATTCAGATGAAATGGTGGTTTAGTTTGCTAAGGCCACCATAATGAAGTACCACAAACCGGGTGGCTTAAGCAATAGAAATGTATTGTCATATTTTTCTGGAAGCTAGAAGTCTGAAATCAAGGTATTGGCAGAGATAGTTCCATCTGAAGACTGTTGCATGTTGCTCTTCTAACTTCGGGTGGTTTGTTGGCAATCTTTGGTGTTCTCTGGCTTATTGCTATACTATTCCCTTCTCTATCTCCACCTTTACTTGGAATTCTCCTTGTGGCTCTGTCTCTTCATGTAGTTTTTTCTTTTCTTTTCTTTTTTTTAAATAAGGGCCCCAGTCATATTGGATTAGTGGCCCACCCTTCAGTATGGCATCATTTTAACTTAATAACCCTATTTCCACATAAGGTAACATTCTGAGGTTTTGGAAATTAGGACTTTGGCGTAACTTTTTAGTTATTTTAGTGTTGGTAGTAGTGGGCACAATGACAATTCAACCCACAGCAGATGAGTTGGTGTGGAAATGGTTTTCCATATTACAGTGGCAGGTTTGCAAATTCTGTCTATTCAAAAGTCACCTGAGGAGGTTTTTTAAATCCCAATATTCAAGCCATCCTCCTACCACACACATGTCACTTACATCAAAATCTTGGATTGGAATACAGGCATCATTTTCCCAAAACTTTCTGGGTGATTACAATAAGCAGCCAAGATTAAGAAGAAAATTAGAGGCAAGAAACAAAACAGTAGTTGGTTTGGTCAGGTGCTATAGCCTTTTCTGTGGTTTGCGAGTTTAAGTCTCAAGATATAAAGATGTGGGGATAGCTCTGGAAAGGTGGACTATTAATTTGCAAATTAGGGTGAGCTTTTTCATGCCACCTCACTACAAGCATGCTTGGTTCATATGACTGAGACTGTTTTAGGAAGATGGCTGATGGGGTAAGTTCTAATTGGAAGTTTCATAGTCTTGCATATCTGGGCTAGTAAGACCTAGGAAATCTTGGGCCATCAGAGGAACTTCCAGTGATTTGAAACATTTAGAATTATCCCACCACACTGGAGAGATATCTCAACCGTTAAAATACTGCTTTTTTTTTTTTTTTTTTTTTTTTTTTTTGCCCAGGGCCCATTTAAGTAAAGACTCCAGTTTCATTGAATAGTTATAATTTGGAAATAGTGCTCTACAAATATGTAGAAAGTCAGTCTGTGAGATTCTTTATAGCTAAACCACTGATACCTTTCTGGGTTAAGAATTAAGGGAAGGCTCACAGCTCATACTGATCCAGACCTACTCGTACCTTTAGTTGAGAATCAGAGCATTCTGCCTGACATAATCTATCTGGGGTGAAAAGAATGAAAGGTAAGCAACCTCAAAGCAGTTAATTTTCTTGACCTTGTATAAAGCAAGAAAAGGATAATGGGGAGATAAAGAATTTGTGAGGAATGAGAAAGTGATTTAAAGCTTTAATTTCTTGGATTCCCTGATTAGATAAACACAAATGTGATAAACACCATCATTACTACATTTACATTAAAAAGCACATAGATGGGGAATGGGAAAGGATTCAAAAGGTTGCATTATAGTTGTGTCTTGACCATTTGGAAAATATGCAAGGGAATGGGACGTTACCCTGAAGAGAACCAATATGAGCTTGTAAATTTACCCCATGTGAAAAGTATTCTCTGCAGCAATAGATGAATGGTAGAATGACAAAAAGGCTGTTAAAATTAAATATTTAATAAAAGTTGTACATATGCTGTCTGCAAGGTAAGATTACAAATGCTTTGTATATATTTACCTCATTATCAAATTCTTTTAACTCTTAAGAGGTATATGGTTTTTATTTTACTAAGACAAAAATATGCTAAAATTCACCATATATAGTGATACAAATTCTTGATAAAGCAGGCTGTTTCTTCTCTCCACCCACATGGATTGTATCTCCCTAAAGGTATTCAGGCAGATAACTCAGATTGACTGGAGGGGAAAGTGGGGGAAGCGGAGGCCTGGTACAGATGTGAAAGTAAAATTCACATTTTTCAAAAACAGTTGATGGAGACTTAATGTAAAATTATTTTCATGAAAGGTATTTATAAATTTGTATAATAAAATGTTTAGTTAAAAAATAATTTAAAACTTTATGTGAACATTTTTTTCTAAGGGAATATTTTAAGAATCTTTGTGTTTACCGTCATGAACACTCTAATCAGCCAAAGATTACCCTGTAATTGTGTTTCTTGTTTCAGATAGAAGTACTATGTGGTCATTCCAGATACTTAGAGATACCAGGAGATTTTCTAGTTGAAACAGGAGTGTGGGTCTAAGGGTCTAAGTTTACTTGTTGCAGTCTCCTTAACTCTTTCATTATTTGGCTTGTAAATTTTCTGAAGCTAAAAGCTATAGATGTTGAGAGTCACAACTTTAAAGACTAGTGAATATTAGTCCAGGGACCAT